ACAAACAGGACCTACTTTATCAATAACACTACTTGATCACGAAAACTTGGCCTATTCTTTCTCTACAAATGCTTACATACTGTATCTATTATTCTTTGTCTACAAATGCTTACATACTGTATCTATTATTCTTTGTCTACAAATGCTTACATACTGTATCTATAAACACAGATCTACTTTTAATTTCATAAATTAATTTATCTGCCAAATGGGACGACTGATCGTTTTCTTTAGGATCGCCCGACCAGAAACAGTATTGATTTTACAAACAATTTTCAACCAGTTTTAAGTAGTGTCTCACAAGTTTGAATAATAGGCCTACCATAATTAAATTATATCTTCCACACATCTCTATCTGAGTGAATGATCAACATTTTATTGTCAATATTACATATTCGAGCATGCACCATGACAAAAAATCTGTGATTTTTTTTTCCATTGATTTTTTTTTTAATTGATTTTTTTTTAGGGTGGGGGGGGGGCATCTGTCATGTGGCTCGATTCCCGTCAATGGTCACACTGAACAGTTTCAAAAACCACTGGTCTAGAACATGTTGTGTGTCATAGATCTCGAACTTATACTTTATACTAAGCACGCGTACGTGCAGTTTAGCGTTATTTAAGAAATATCACCAAAGCTCTCTAAACGTATAGGACTTACAGTGTTTAAAATAAACAGCGTCTGTTGGCGGTCACATCTCATACTTTGGGACTTTGTAAATTAAAAGAAGTTCAAATTTTAAAAAAAAATATCGTTATTGGTATACATCCTACATAAAATATAATATCGAGCAAAAAAGGGGTGGGGGGTATTTGATAAAACATGTAGGCCCATACAAGTAAGGCACTTTGTCCCAATTAGTGCCCTCCCCCCCCACCTTAAGGCTCGCAACCGCACATTTTAATTCACGCCCCTGAACCATATTAATATTCTGATGACCCACCCACTTTTAACACTGCAGATGTATTATAACAACAGTTTTAGAAAAACGCACATGCGATATTTTTTTTTTTTTAAGAATCTCATTTAGTAATTATTGTGAATTTCATTTTATCTTCCCCTTGATAGCAGGACAAACTTATTTTTGTGGGTTGGGGCTTAAAATTTTGAAAGAACGTATTGTCATCGGCTGAGTGGGAGACTAGCTGGGACATGGAATCTCACCCTGCCAAGTGCCAGACACTATCAGTCTCTAGAAGTTGTACTCCTCTACACTACCAATACAAACTGCACGGCCATATTCTTGAGCAAGTTTCCTCCGTAAAGTACCTGGGTGTTACCATTCAAAGAGAGGTCCGCTGGGACGAGCATATTAACAATGTATGTAACCAAGCAAACAAGACCCTAGGGTTCTTAAGGCGAAATCTAAAGATTGGCAACTCCTGTGTGAAAGAAAGAGCATATAAAGCCTTTATCCGTCCGATTTTAGATTATGCATCTTCAGTCTGGGACCCATTTACCCAGAAGAGCATTGACAGGTTGGAGGCGGTCCAGCGACGAGCAGCACACTTTGTCCTAAACCGCTACAGGAATACCTCTAGTGTTGGCAGCATGCTAGAAACACTAGGCTGGTCACCATTGGAGAAACGACGACGACAATCCAGGCTCTCCATTATGTACAAGATAAATAATGGGCTGGTCCACTGTTCCAGTATTAAACAGAAACTCGTCCCTCTCCCCCATAGACAGCGACGAGGCCATGACAGGCAATGCAGGCGCATTCCAGCAAGAAGCCAGTATAGGAGCTGCTCATTCCTGCCCAATACAATCAGGGACTGAAACAAACTTTCAAAAGGAATGGTTGAGGCGACAACACTAGACACATTTGCGTCTATTGCCTCAAGCCTTCAAACCCCCAGTGCATGATCCCTCACAAAGTGGCACTTGCAATCAGTGAAATATCCTCATCAACACCAGGCACAGAAACATTGCAAATCCCCTCTACGTGCATAGGAACTAAAATTATCAATAAATTAATCGTGGGCCCTTAATATAAGGCAGAAGAAGAAGAATTCTATGTGCCAAGTTTCAGCTCGATTGCTTGACGGGAAGTTGGCCATTTCGGGCCAGCCACAAACAAAAGCGAAGTTAATATGAAGGATTTAAAAAGAGAACACAAAATAAAGTTATTTATGATGAAAAATGAAATAGAAAAAAGAATGATAGTTGTTTCCCAGACGAACAGACAATGATAATTGGTGCCCAGGCTAACAAACAATAACTGGTGTCCAGGCTAACAAACAATAACAAAATGTCCTTTGCGCCTTGAGTTTTAGGTCTGTTCCTAAAGTTCTTTGGGACTCTGGTTCACACTAGCCTATGTCCGATATCTTCTTAAAGCTCTAATTTTTTTTTTTTACTGAGTTCGTTGAGCTTATAAATACGAGTTCGTTCTATATCGGAATCAGGTCTCTTTTGCTGAATCGGGATATCGTAAACAAAAAATATATTATTTTTTAAATGCGAAAAGAACGAATTTAAATCAGTAAAATTTTGTGCGTGCGTAAAGATATTCGCCTACTTCTCATCTATGAAACACGTCGGCGTGCGACTGTTAAGTTCAAGTGACAACACCGACCTTGCTCTCCTTATGAACTAATTGTGAGCACAAAGCTATGGATGGTAAACTAAAAGTTTCCTAACGTTTAATGTCCAAAGCCACCCAGACTCATCTGCTAAAACAAAAACCAGCTGCACATAGGTTTCATTTTCAACATGGAGGAAATCTGTACTGAGGTGTGTGTGTGTGTGTTTTTTGTTTTTTTGTTTTTTTTTTGGGTTGTTTTTTTTTGAAGAAAATATACAGGCTATTTTGGTGCCAAGCTGAGATATCAAGGTAGGCCATGAGGGTTCCACATAATGTTTGCAAAGCTGGCACTAAGCACATACTCCAGTCAACAGATGTTGCATCCTTCGAAGCAGGACCGTAGCGTGACATTTAGATAGCCACCCCACCCCCTTTTTTCTTTTTTGGCAGTTTGAGATAAGTTTTTTTTTTTAAATTTCCCCATCCCAACTTTAGGTCCCTTAACTGCCGTAAATATCGGAGGCCCAACTGCAGCCGCATGGGTTGCTGGGTCCAAGTGATGGCTCTCGTCCAGACTTAAGGAAAAATCATGTTACATATAACTGTTACATACTTCAACGTGTAACAAATATTACGTTACATCGAAGGAGAGAACAGGATTTGCTGTATTTTTTTTTTACTGAAGACATGAAGTTAGATATTTTACAATGAAATAAGACTTCAGAAACATTTCTGGGCAACAAACAACATCGATCTTCAAGAGTATAAACCAAGTATGTGACGTCTGCACAGCGACAGTCAACGCATGTTTTAAAGGTGTTCTTTTTAATAAATGGCAACAGATAGTGTTCTGTTCTGACCAGGTCATTCCCACGGGATGGAAGAATAATACAAGGCCATCTTCTTTTAGTCTTTGAAAATATCAATTACTAAATAGCATCGTTGTGTGATTAATGTTGCCTTGAAAATGGGTTTCACCAACCCCGCCCCCCCCCCTTTTTTTTTTCGGTTTATAAAGTGTCTACAAACCTTTCTTTTCTTCTCATGCCTTTTTGGACAGCAGAGCAAAACATCAAAGTATTGGCAAGAAAAGATCTGCCCCCCATACAAACCTTTCTTTTCTTCTCATGCCTTTTTGGACAGCAGAGCAAAACATCAAAGTATTGGCAAGAAAAGATCTGCCCCCCCCCCCCAACCTTACCCTGAAATATAATGGTCAGAGGAAAAAGAAAATGGAAAAAGAAAATGGAAAAAGAAAATGGAAAAAGAAAATGGAAAAAGAAAATGGAAAAAGAAAATGGAAAAAGAAAATGGAAAAAGAAAATGGAAAAAGAAAATGGAAAAAGAAAATGGTAACAGGAAATCCTAATTATATATATACATATATAATTATTGAAGCCAGTGATTATTTCAGATTTTTCGGGGATGTAGTGCCAGCAGTGCCAGTTGATTTATTGTTGGACATATTTTTGCTCAAGGGGGGGGGGCACTTGGCTTTCCCCGGGGGGGGGGCAATGGCGCCCCGGAGATATAGCTGAAAGAAACCCTGATTGAATCTTCAGGAGCCCCTCCCCCCCCCCCACACCCACATAATACATTTTGTTCACGTATCGCACACTGTAAAAAAAAAAAGATATTACATTGCTTCCATGCTTAAAAATTTAAAAAATATTCAAATTCTTAAAAAAACTAGAGCTGGTGAATCATCGGATCAAATATACCAATAAAAGTGTTTATCATTGGTGTCACCCAATTTGTTGTTGAAAAGTGTAACAATAGCTTATCTTTTTTTAATGTTAATTATAAAATGCATGAGATTGAAATGTTTATTGAGAATGAAATCCAATTTTATTTATTCCCCCCCCCCCCTAAATAAACTGTAAACCAAATTTTTTCGCATTGAGAGTTTGTACAAATCCTATTAGAAGACGAAAGAATTTCCATGAGCATTTTTAATAACTTATCCAAATTTACACTTTTATTGAATGTAGATTTTAAAAAATTGTACAATTACGTCACTCGAGCTAAAATGTAACTTGATATCTAATTTGAATACTAACATTTTACCTGATTCAGATTTCACAATTTCCTTCATTAACATTTTACATTAAATTGATGTCTAATATATTATGATAGTCAAAGCAACTCAGAGCCAGCGTGTGACTTTTGGAGGTCCCCCGTGCTACGTCTAGATTTTGTGTCCCCAACATTTAAGTTGCTGGTGAATTCTTTTTACCACATCCCAACTTTGGGCTATTATATAAATCTGATGCCCCTTCCAGACACAGTGGTTTCATTGCCCACGCGACGGCCCTGATGATAGCTCAATAACTGTATTTACATGGCTTTGTAGATTAAATAGGATTGCTATAAGTGTGTGGGGGGGGGGGGGGGGGCTTACATATTGCCAATATTTTGTAAACAACATAAATGTGAAGAATTTATGAGGAATATTAGGAAACAAAATCAGGCCAGATTTCTTAAAGATTAGGTCTTCCCCATATTAATTTTTAATGTTTCATTGCGACATTCAATATGATATACTACAATGACTATATAAAATGACTTCATATAAAATACAAACTTGAAACTGCCTGGGGGTCAACTGAAACTTCATTTTTTTCTCATCACAGGTCCAACGAAAAATGACCGTTATAATTTTGTTCACTGTGCATGAACATTTTATAAAATATTTCTGTCGTCTAACGTCTTCACTTGTTTATATATATATGTTCAAAATAATCCCTTATATTCAGAAAAATAACGTTATCAAATTGTTAGACTTGTTATGGTATGTGGATTGACGATGCAGAGAAGGACGTAAACCAGTTGGGGGTTCGCGCACGGAGGCGGACAGCCATGGATCAGCCAAACGGAAGGATGGGTTGGAGCAGGCCAGGGCCCTACATGGGCTGTAGCGCCACTGATGATGACGTTGCCATTGATATCCAACTAGCAACATTTGTACGATATATTTTTTGTGGAATATTTCAACCCAAACTAAATTGACTAAATAAATAAAATGTCTTTATCAAACGTGGACTTGAATACATTTCAATTAAAATAATTGTTTTTTCTATACAAAGCTTTCGAAATGAATGAATATAAAGTTACAATGGTGGCCGCGTGCATAGCTTCAGCCAGAAACCCTTTCTCGTCGAATTCTCCTCTGTCGCCTGAACAAGTACACGCCCAGACCGATCCCCAACAGCGCCACCACGACACTGACACCTATGATGATGGCCAGTACTGTCCCCGCTCTCAGAATGCAGATGTCCGAACTGTCCCCACAATTGTCAAAGCCGTTGCAGTAGAGTTCGCCGGCTATGCAGTGTCCGTTCTTGCAGCTGTATTCACTTCCGGTGCAGGGAGCTGGCAGTAAAAAAAAAATTATTACAATAAAGGTTGGATTTCTCAGAACCATTTAGAAGTTAAAGTTTCTCTGATAAAATCAGCAGTTTGTATTCCTTTGATTTTAACGAATCTGATATTCATTTGTGAAATGATTTTTTTTCTTCTAAACACTGGTAAAAAGTAAATATAAAGAGACGCACAGACAAGACCAAGTGACTCACCGTACGTAAAAGCGGTGAACAGCAATTCTATCTGGTCACGAACAAAGAGCTCTTTGTCGACCTTGATCCCGGCTAGCTCCGTCGTTGACTTGTACGCCTTCTTGGGAACAGCGTCGTTGCACAGCTGATCTACAAACAGATAAAGGATTCGGCATTAACATAGCGTTCTCCTTCACCTGTTACGTCGTTTCTCCGCCCCTTCCTTTTCACAGCCAATCACCGTGCACTCCCGCTTCCTCTCTTCCTTCCCCATTTGCCTATATTAACTCTCTAACCTACTAAGGTTTGACTACTTTCGGATACAATATTTCATCTAAGTTTTTTATTTCTTTATTTTTTACCATTTGAACTGTTTGCAGACGAAGGCTTCTTGTCGACACTTTTGTTATTTATGTTGCGTCCCTTTTTCGAGTTTTCTCTTACCTCATTTTACCTACTTCCTTCTACCTGTGTTGTTACCAGTAAGTGGTATTGTTCCTGTGAGCGAAATTGTTACCTGATTTGGGTTTCGTTTACCTGTGAGTGGTATTTTGAATGTTGCGTCATCAAACAGCCGAATGTAGTTACTGAAGCATCCCTGTCCCGGGTGCACGTCAAACCTGTGGAATCTGAAGGTGATTTTCTTGTTGGCGGGCGCCCTGATGATGACGTCACAATTCAGACTGTTCATCTGCTGACCAGGTCTGCGGAGGAGCAGCCGCCCGGCAGAGATCCTGGCCTGCTCCATGTCCAGTGTGAGAGAACAAAAGTCACCCAGATAGTCTGTGGTTATAGAATAGCATTTAAATTGGAATTGTTTCTGGGGTTTAATTGTAAACCTAGAAATAATTTCTATTTTGTTACTTCAGACAAATCTTTTCATTTTTAGACTAGGTCTATTCGGAATATTTTTTTAAAAAACATAAATTTATGTGCATGCAAATATTTTTAATCGCTTCTTGAATTAAGTGTTAAATTTTAGATTGATGCATGCGTTGTATCATGAGTTTGAAAGCAGATTCAATTCTTTACTATATCATACATTCCGGTGCAGAAATTCACTGAACAGGATATGTGGACGCTTGAAACGAAAGACAGGACAATAAGAGGACAATAAGAGAGCAATAAGAGAAGAACGTTTCGGCTAAGAGCCTTCCTGCGCAGACAGGAATAAATGAATATTCATCTCATCTCAACATCTATTGAATCATGTCATCTCAACATCTACTGAATCATCTCATCTCAACATCTACTGAAAAAAAAAGAAAAAAGTTTAAAAAAAAAAAAAAAAAAAAAAAAAAAAAACTTAAGGTTCGCCACTGTTATTGTCGGAAGTTATTTTCTTATTGTCATTTCTTTCGATTCAAGCTTCCACATTCCTTGTTCTATTTCCTTCACACGGTTTGAACGCAGTCCTCCAATTAGTATTCTTAATTTTACAGCCGTCTTACAGAAGTCATTTTATGAGTATGAGCCGTGTCTGAATTATATAACTTTTAAAAAATATCTCATCTAATACAGTGGTTATCAACCTTCCCAATACCCCGACCCTTTAATACAGTTCCTCCTGTTGTAGTGACCTCCAACTATAAAATTATCATCGTTGCTGCCTCATAAAGATGTGTTTTCCGATGGTCGCAGGCGACCCCCTGTGTATGGGTGGTTGGACCCACAGGTCGAGAACCACTGATCTAATAGGTCAACTCCTCAGTCTTTATTCCAAGAACGCAATGAACACGACTGGCTGGCGACCTGACATCTTCACTGCCACACAAAACGGGCTCCGGGTGCAGTCTGTTCGGACGTAGAGCGGAGGGAGCTGAGTCTCCACAAGCATCCCCCCCACCACCACCACCACCCTATTCACGCCCCCCCCCCCCAACCACCACCCTATTCACATAGTGACAGTTTTCTTAAGCGTCTTCCAGGATGTAGCGATTTAAAAGATTGACACCACCCTATTCACGCCCCCCCCCCCAACCACCACCCTATTCACATAGTGACAGTTTTCTTAAGCGTCTTCCAGGATGTAGCGATTTAAAAGATTGCGAAATTCTAATAGGATTATAATTAAATCGCCGAAAATGGCAATGACAATGTGTGAACTTTCCATCTACTATAGTTACTTTGAAAAAAAAAAAAAAACAGCCATTCAAGTAATGCACCTTATGAAGAGTCCCAATTTTTACTAACTTCTGGGAATTTTATTTTGCGTGCCTATTGAATACAGCGTTACAGAAATACTTTCGTACCGAGAGAATTATCATTCGTGATTATAGTGGATGATATTTATGACATTAAAAAGCCATCTTTCCCACTTACTTGTTGTTTTTTTTTTTTTTTTTTTGGGGGGGGGGGGGATCTGCTCGGAATCTGGTACAGCTAAATTTTCATACTCAAAGAAATCTACTTACACTACACTGTAATGTTAGCGAAAGGTCTATAGTCCTAACATTTAATGGAATTTTAGCGAAATGTCTGTAGTTCTACTAACATTTAATGGGATTTTTTGCGAAATGTCTATAGTCCTAACATTTAATGGGATTTTTTGCGAAGGTCTATAGTCCTAACATTTAATGGGATTTTTTTCGAAAGGTCTATAGTCCTAACATTTAATGGGATTTTTTGCGAAAGGTCTATAGTCCTAACATTTAATGGGATTTTTAGTGAGAGGTCAATATTTTTTACTTACACATGGGAGTGTAACCAAAACGCCTCTACTTCTACTTACATGTAGGAATGTCAGCAACCGCTTGAAGCATCGCATTCAGAATTAAGAATGCCACAAGTACTCTTGACTTGGCATTCGCTACTTGATGCGTCACCATTTTAAAAAACAAATGTCAGGTGATGACGGAATCATGCAAGAAGTTTTTTGACGCAGGAAGTGGTTTTCCTTTTTGTAATAACCTGCACCCAAATGGCGTTGTGTGATAACGAATCAGTTAAAATGTCTCATCAAATCCATGATTTTTACCTAATCGTCTTCTGCTATAATTTAAGATTTAGGGATTGCCTATTATATTGTTCCAGAAGAAAATTCAAAACAAACGTTTAATTATAGATTTGGATGACCATGACCTTGCAACCGTTTTCAAAATGGCGACTGATTTGTTGTAATTGAATCGTGTCCAAAGAATAAAATTTAATACTTTATCGTTTAAGAGCAAAATACACTTTGTTTTGAGCGATTCGTGTCCAAGATTTTTAAGGAATCGAGATACTATTACGTATATCCAATGAGAAACAAATTATTCAGTTGAAGTCATCAATTCTCTGGTGTTGTCCTCGTAGAATCCCTCTGTCAAATATAGAATTTGTTTTGTTTTTAAAAGCAATTTTGAAAACATTAGCAAGTACTTTGAATATCACGTGCCCAGAGGATAATACACTATTTGAAGACCGCACGCATCGATCTGTACGAATTACATTACATTAAAATGGGCTCTGCAGCTTAAACAATGCACCCACACATGCATCGAACAAACTTCACCGATGGATACACACGCCTGTCACTGAGAGCAGTCGTCTCACAACAGCCAGAGTACGTTCGGAGGTCGCGGGATACAAAATTTCAGGATTCTCTGACCGATAATCATGACAGATTTGAGCCACGTAAGATAAGTCCCCACCATGCACCCAGGTATACATCTTGATCATGGGCGGGGAGCCGACAGCGTTGGTTTAGCGGTGAGATTTAGACGGGTGATTGATGGCCCCGGTGGTTCCATGTCACTGGCGATGCCTATGCGTAGAGACTTAATGGATGTCATGGATAGGGTAATGTACCAGTGCTGTAACGTGACATTTTTTTCCCCGATTTCTTGCGCACGATTTCTGTTCCGGAAGTGTTCCATTTATACATTGCAGCGACAATTAAATTGTTTGAATAGCAATGTAAACACTATTACCGTATCATCTAAACATCTCAAGACGAATAGGTCTTCACAAATTACTATTCAAGTGTGACCTTATAAAGCAAAGTCTCACATAAAAGATGAGTCTCACATACAAGATAATTCTCACATACAAGATAAGTCTCACATACTAGATGAGTCTCACATACTAGATGAGTCTCACATACTAGATGAGTCTCACATACAAGATCAGTCTCACATATAAGATGAGTCTCACATACTAGATGTCTCACATACTAGATGAGTCTCACATAAAAGATGAGTCTCACATACTAGATGAGTCTCACATACAAGATGAGTCTCACATACAAGATGAGTCTCACATACAAGATGAGTCTCACATAAAAGATGAGTCTCACATGCTAGTTGAGTCTCACAAAAACAAGTTAGGCGCAAAACTATGAGTGGAGTCCTCGGTCCAATTCTGTTCAATTTAGTGCATTTTTTTTCTTTGGAAAAGTATAATTAAAGGGGAAGGGGCATAATTTTGTATGGTCAATTTTGTTACAAACTTTGGCAATCACGTACTTAAGGCATGAAATGACATTTCCATTCACATCATTTTGTTTTAAGCTAAAAATTCTATAACTAGGACACCAAATGGATTTAGCCTATGGACCACTCCCCCCCCCACCCCCAAAGGGTAATGATGGTAGATGTTATAGTTTAAGTTGGCAAAAATATAATGAGCGTCCGACAGATTTTGTTGCAAATGTTAAACCTAAATTACATTTATATGTATACATTTTTTAAGCTTAATTAGGGGTGAAATTTAAATAAAATTATCACCCTAACAATAGAGACGCTTGTACGTGGCGGGTTGATGGAGACCGACTGAATTTCAGCTTCGGTTTCAGCGCTGAAAGTGGCCATTTTATCTCTTTCGGCCTAATTTCGGTTTCGCCCGAAACCAGAAAGTTAAATTTTCAGTTTAGTTTCGGCCGAGACTGAAATGTTAACGTTCGGTTTCATTTCGTCTTCGCCCGAAAGTCATTTTTAAATTTCGTCCGAAATCAGAAAATCACTTTCGGTCTTTCTCTAGCTGACATCAACACAATTATAATCATTAAAAACGTCAAAGTTCATCCTGGTTTCTACAAGTTGTAACGCTACAGTTCTTGCTTCTCTTGTCTTCGCTGTATAATCCCTTGACATACTATGGCCAAGCACACAAAAAAGGAGCACCCATTCATAATTTTTAATTTTATGATAAAAATACCTTTAATGACATCCCCCGCATACTTGAAAAATCTGTCACCATCCATTAGAGTAAATGTATTTAATTTGACATTAAGGTTGGTCAGTTTGTACTCTTAGTAAACATTTGGCTGTCTACTATAGAATAGAACATTTCAAACACCTGGGCGAAATTTCATTTTCTCCACGGGATGTCCTATGTGATGAATGTACATGTCATAATTGTACGCACGAGCAATTCACCTTGACCTCGGCTGACCCAGGTGTCAAACCGAACCTGACGTAGTGATGCATCTCCTCCCACCTGACCGTTTAGCTGATTGAGTAGTACCGAGCAAAATTCGTGTATAGTACATCAGATCATCTTGTCCATTCGCAAGTATAGTTCTTACCATAATATGTGTAGTATGTCATAGTACCTTGTGTATTCGCAAGTAAATCTTATTTATATTATCATGGCAGGGATGAAGTATGACAGCTTTGTTGCCCCCAACAACTCACCACTGAGTCACCACCTTCCTACCTCTCAACACACTCCTACGCTCAACAGTAATTCCGTACACGTTTAAACTTTATTTAATTTAGGCTTCCTACGGTGGACTGGACTCTCCAAACGGCCCGGGTAAATAGAAAGAACAACACAAAAGTGCCCCATAAAGGTGACCCCTATGCTGAGCCCTAAGGTGGCGATTTTTTTACAGCTCAAAACCAGGACATTTTAAATCGTTTTGCGCCATGAATGTCAAACATACTTTGTGACATAATTGTGACATTTATTTCTGCTTCAGATGTACTCGATCTTTTAAAACCTCGAATAAATTTTTTATTTTTTTTATTTTGTAGTTTTAAAATAAACTCTACTGGTTTTAGCTCAAGACAAACTAAGACAAGTCAAAAAAACAATTTTCTTCTGGTAAGACTAGAGCTAATGGTTTCCTTGTCTTTTGCCCCTATCCGACTGTTCTTGTCCTCGGGCGGGGAGATTCGCCTTGAAGCAAGGTCACACATCGGCTTAAAAATAAGGCACAAACGCTAGAGTGAACGTCTAATCCACCAGTGTATGACAATCGGACAAAATGCATTCAGTCAAAAATCGATCTCTCACACCAGAACCAACAAAAATTATCTTTATTGTGAGATGTTGTAAGGTGCTGTATAACTATTTTTAAAATATAAAAGTTTCACGCTATTATTTGGGACGATATTTCGTGGTATTATGCAGGGACGTCATTTGGGTTGGGCAGGGGGGGGGGAATTCCCCCCCCCCCCTAAATTTTCAGTTTTGGGGCCTTCCCCCCCCCCCCCCCTGAATTTTCAGTTTTTATTTAAATTGCAATTTACTGTGGCGCCTCCAGTAATAAACAACTTAACACGCCGACCAAGTTTTGGTTTTTTCCCCCGCTCCCCCTGAAAAAAAAACTGAAATGACGCTAGAAGTTGTATTGAGACGCTATTTCTGGTGTCAAGGTATGGAAAACGCTAGACGGTGTCAAACAATGACTTTTCCGAAATGAGATCCAAATAGTAACTACCCTACTGAACTGTCCATCAGTGATAGATCGATCACGCAGAGACGCGTGGAGTGTAAATGAAATGTACCACCGACGACAGTGGGTCAATACAGTGTGAGGATATTTAAAAACGTTAGATGGTTTTCATAGGATTAGGGGCTCTCTACCCTCTCAATGTTTCAAATAACGTGCTGATACTCTCTCTACGATTATTAGATGGTTCCTAATGCTGACGAGGAGCTTAGATTATATTTATTTTCCAGGGTCGAAATGTTTTTTTTCCGTTATTCGACGTTGAATATCGTATTCGTTGTTGTAGTTTTAATTCATATTTTTATCATTATTTTTTTTTATATTTTGCCAAAAGACTTTGACTTAATCTACATGACTAAAGCACCAAAAAATGTGCAATGCAAAGTTATTGAGATACAAATATCAACAGTTAATTCTGAACACCCCAAGCTGTCTTAGACGAGCTATGCCAAGCGTCTTCACCTCATGGCTATGAATATGCGTAACATTAAAATACAAATGCTATTCGTGCGTCTAATTGATAAATAAAATAATTTGAAATACTGTGTGTGTGTGTGGGGGGGGGGAACTTTTTTTTAAAAAAATTCTCTCAAACAAAATATGTGTGTTTTTCCATTTATTTCCCGTGACACAAAATGTGGACGTGTCTGTTGTGCCGTGAGAAATTTTTATCTTGAAATCATTAGTTCTCCGTTATCATTTGGACGCCCGAGCAAAGTCTTCACAGACTTTTAATCCTCCTTGATACACGAGCCCAGCTGGAGTTCAGCTGGTATCTTATGGTATCTCTAGCGACCAGTGACGAGCTCGTCTCTTTTATTTAAAATGTTTGTTTACGAACTGCGTTGTTTTGGTGAAATATAAATTAATAAGTACACCACTCATGAACACCAGAAGTACATTTTATCCATATTTTATTAAAAGTATATAAAAAATGATAAAATTCTGATGGAAACAAATTAGATTCAAATCGAAACCAAAATCAATGAGGGTATGAATGCTTCAATTCAAATGTATACAATTAAAGTCAACAAAAAGAGACGCTAAATTTATCATCTAAATATATCATCTAAATATATCATCTGACACGATGTAAATACGGCAAAAATTTGAGAGTATAAATTTAAAAATACTTTTCTATGTACATAAAATGGACGTTTTTTGTGTAAGAGCACAGGTGGGCATGTACAGATATAAATGTGTACACAACTATCTAAAAAGGTTTTCATTTCAAAAGAGATTTAAATATTTTTTTTAAATTAAATACCCAAGTCTTCTAGCTTCACTTTGTTAAATGTGTCGGACTATTATTTAAGTTCTTACGGTAATACTTTATTCTGTAAATTTCCCCTTATAATAGCCCCATCATTGCTTCATCGCACTTTAAAAGATTCTGTTACGGGTTCCATTTAAAAAAAGTAAGAATTTAGCGGAACAAATAGTTGTCATGAAAACTAAAATACAGCTCGTATAAAAACATTGAGAGTGTTGACATTCAAGTAAATGGATCATTTTGTGTACAGTCAAGAGGGGATTATTTTCTCCTAAAATGTCGTGGTATAGCTGAAAAAAAAAAAACAACCTCTGATTTGTGCTTTGTGAAATCATTTAAGACAGCCTTAGTCTTCATTAGACATTTTTAATTTAGGGAAAATCTTTGAATTAAAATCAGCAAGTCGAATCCTATTAAACGGCTTGACGAGTTGTTACCATTTCCGTGTCAAAACTTTATATACAAATATAGTATCTTTTTATAGGTATAAAACTTGCTCAATAAATAAATATTGAAATGGATTACATTGAATTCCTATAGGTGGAGAAAGGACTTTACTATGTTTAGTTTGAATCCGGACTTCGTCGGTAGAAAAGTGATGCTGTGTTGCAAAAAAAAACAACAAAAAAAAAAACTTACAACTCTTGGGACCTTCCACAAATCAAGAAATCTCAAAGTTCGATAATGAAAAGTCTTTTTTTTTTTTCGAAAGTCCAACTTACCTTTGACTTTCGAAGTGAGACATCACAAACCGACCACATTCAAAGCCGCCGTTGTCAGCAGCCATACACGCCACAAAAACAGGGCACAACACACGCAGGCGCTACACACACAGGACCCAACACATGACTAGCATCTTTCCCCAACACATTAAAAGAATGGCTTATAGCACGGCCGATCGATTCTGTCTGACGCCTTGAGCGATCTGAAGGTGGCCATGAAAAGAGACGGAAACAGGTTCTGGAAGTACTTGCACGGATCGTCCAGAATCTCTTTCGCAATCGCGGACCTGAACAGATAGAAATGGGGATCGTTTTGGTGGGCAAGAACATCTCTTCACATTCTTCTGATGTGAACAATTCAACAGTGAAATGATGGTAAATGAACTCACATTTTGTCGAAATGCAGGCAGCAGTTGTAGATGAAGAGAGTCAGCTCAGATAAACTGTTCTTGTAGACCCGGAAGGATCGCATTTCTTTCATGACCACTGGGTTGATGGCTTGAACCTGGGACGGGAGACAAGGCGGGAATGACGTCACGTAACTTAACATAGTGAACAGGACGGCGTTAAGGAGAAGTAAAAAATATTTTTTAACTGTTGAAAAGCTTAGATGAAACATGAGAAAATCACTATAAAAATAGATTTCGAAAACATCAGATTCTGAAAAAGGATTTAAATTATTCTGTTATTCTTTTTCCTTTATTTTTCATTTCTTTATTGTGAGGACCCACGATCAATTCAATGATCATTCTGACTCCTGTGGTGCTTGAGATGTTGGAATTGAGTCCCAGTTATAGACCGCTTGGTCACCAAGATATGCTGGATGCATATTCCAAGATGTAAAATAGTTTCCAAAAAAAATATAGTTTTTCCCATAATTTAAAAAGGTTTCAGATTTAATATAATCTATACTGTGATGAAAGTAAAATGTAATCCATACTGTGATAAAAGTAAAATGTAAGCTATACTGTGATAAAAGTAAAATGTAATCCATACTGTGATAAAAGTAAAATGTAAGCTATACTGTGATAAAAGTTAATATATAATATTTTCGTTTAGTTCAACTATAATGCGGCGGAGTTTAAATCCCATTTTAACATGTTCAAGACTGACCCAGTTGGGGCTAACTTCCGAAATATCCAAGACGCTGAGGATCTCCATCATGGTGGGCGAGCCGTTACCTGTCAGGGCTATGCTGGAAAATCCACGTATATATATATATATGCATGTCTTTTATAATATGAAGCCTATTAGAGATTGTACTTCTAAAGTCGGGTACTTCTAAAGGCATGTACATCTAAAGGCATGTACATCTAAAGGCAGGTACATCTAAAGACAGGTACCTCTAAAGTCGGGTTTTAATTAAAAACGATTTTTAAGCTGCATTTTTGTCTGTGTGTTTTTTTTTAAAACCCGTATCTCTAGTCATTGCTTTTTTTTTTTTAATTGTGTTCAAAGTTTTCTGTGATTAACTTCTCTTGGTTTTTGAATAACAAAGAGTTGTCTTTCCTTCTTTAAAAAACTAACACCTACAATATTCTCAGGGTTTCCTACAGAATGTATTTCTTTTAATAAATTCCCGGAGTTATTGTTTTGTTTTCTTTTAAATTTACATTTTAACTTCGGATGCATTAAAATATCCGGTGGCATTTTGGGAGAGCGAATTATTCTTGTAATTTTTTTAATTCATCTTATGACCTGCCATTAATGCTGCATCCATCCCAAACAGATTTAACAGTAGGACACAGTAGGACAGAGTAGAACACAGTAGAACAATACATTTCCTTGTTTACAGAACATAAAATGAATGCACTATGTTAACATGACCAAACGACATATGTTCAATGGGTTAAGATTCGCAGCGGTCAGAACATAAAATGAATGCACTATGTTAACATGACTAAACGACATATGTTCAATGGGTCAAGATTCGCAGCGGTCAGAACATAAAATGAATGCACTATGTTAACGTGACCAAACGACATATGTTCAATGGGTTAAGATTCGTAGCGGTTATTTCTTTATAACATATTCATTTGATGCATTGACATTCTTAGTCACTTTTTTAGGGCACATTGTTTGAATGTCGACCAACGAAAACCAAGGTCCACCTACCCAGTCTTCATCTCGGTCAGTACGTCTGAGCCAGCGATGAGGATCAATCGGAACTTCTTCTCGCTGGACCAAAAGAACGGATGCCTGGAAATAATCCGGTTACAGATAAAGATTTTAGATGAACGTCTGGCTAAGATAATGTATTGTAAAGGTACTTCTCAAGACATTTGGCCGACTTCTCTGTTGCTAATGTGGCAATATATATATATATTTATATATATATANTATATATATATATATATATATAAAGTATACATGAAATGCTTTGAACATGCTAGCTACATGCTATTTATTCATTTTGATCGTGTCCAACATCCATAAAGTGACAATCATGAAATTGCTTTGTTTCGCTTATGCGAAGATACTCATAAGCTTAGACTTATTCATAATGTTCAATGCTTAGAAATCCCTTTAGCTAAAGATGGCTCCCCTAGGCTCTAAACCCGTTGATCTAACTCACTTCAAACAATGCTCGACCGTCGGTCTGGCCGCTGGCTCGGGAAACAACATGCCCGAGACCAGGTCGTTGGCCTCCTCGCTGATGTGCTGCATCTTACTGCTACCACGCGCAATGTTCAGCTCGGCCTCCAGGGGCGTAGAGCCGAAAGGGTGCTGGCCCCCGGTAAGAATGAAGTAAAGTAGCATACCGGCCACCTAGTAATAGTAAGAAAATTCCGTATGAAAAGTAATTGGACGAAGGTTTCGCTCGACGGCTCTGATTGGCCTTTGCACTCTACTAACTCTATGAATAATACGATAATGAACAAAAGTATTTCTGCAAGGTTTATTTCTGTGGTCTAACTCTAACCCTAGTCGTGGTCACCCACTCTAATAGGACTTTAAAGCTCCATGGGATAAAGATATACTGCATTCATTTATGTTTGAGTCCATGCCGTTTGGTGAATGCTGTTATAATCGTAAACTCCAGCCCTTCACCTGGATGTCCGCTGCCATGGATGGTTGAGCGTGGTCACTGTTCAGATCCTCGGAGGAAGTCCAGCACGCTGACCGACCTGTGGATGGTTTAGACCCGTTTAAGCAAGCCCCAGTTTCAGGCGAGGCTGCGTCCATTTCAGGCATAACCGGCAAAGTGGACAGGCGTTAGCCAGACCTTTTTTTTTTTTGGATGTAAGAAATACCCTGACCCTGCTATTTTTTTTTTTTAAAGTCGTCCTCTACAAATTTATTTGACCTTTTCGAAATTACAAATTAAGTAGTACAAAGGGCGAGCACTGGATGAAGTAGTACAAAGGGCGAGCACTGGATGAAGTAGCACAAAGGGCAAGCACTGGATGAAGTAGTACAAAGGGCGAGCACTGGATGAAGTAGCACAAAGGGAAAGCACTGAATGAAGTAGTACAAAGGGCGAGCACTGGATGAAGTAGCACAAAGGGAAAGCACTGGATGAAGTAGTACAAAGGGCGAGCACTAGATGAAGTAGTACAAAGGGAAAGCACTGGATGAAGTAGTACAAAGGGTGAGCACTGGATGAAGTAGCACAAAGGGCAAGCACTGGATGAAGAAGCACAAAGGGCAAGCACTGGATGAAGTAGTAAAAAGGGCAAGCACTGGATGAAGTAGTACAAAGGGAAAGCACTGGATGAAGTAGTACAAAGGGCAAGCACTGGATGAAGTAGTACAAAGGGCAAGCACTGGATGAAGTAGTACAAAGGGCAAGCACTGGATGAAGTAGTACAAAGGGCAAGCACTGGATGAAGTATTACAAAGGGCAAGCACTGGATGAAGTAGCACAAAGGGCGAGCACTGGATGAAGAAGCACAAAGGGAAAGCACTGGATGAAGTAGCACAAAGGGCAAGCACTGGATGAAGAAGCACAAAGGGAAAGCACTGGATGAAGTAGTACAAAGGGCGAGCACTGGATGAAGTAGCACAAAGGGAAAGCACTGGATGAAGTAGTACAAAGGGCGAGCACTAGATGAAGTAACACAAAGGGAAAGCACTGGATGAAGTAGTACAAAGGGAAAGCACTGGATGAAGTAGTACAAAGGGTGAGCACTGGATGAAGTAGCACAAAGGGCAAGCACTGGATGAAGTAGTACAAAGGGTGAGCACTGGATGAAGTAGTACAAAGGGCAAGCACTGGATGAAGTAGCACAAAGGGCAAGCACTGGATGAAGAAGCACAAAGGGAAAGCACTGGATGAAGTAGTACAAAGGGTGAGCACTGGATGAAGTAGTACAAAGGGTGAGCACTGGATGAAGTAGTACAAAGGGTGAGCACTGGATGAAGTAGTACAAAGGGCAAGCACTGGATGAAGTAGTACAAAGGGCAAGCACTGGATGAAGTAGCACAAAGGGAAAGCACTGGATGAAGTAGCACAAAGGGAAAGCACTCGATAAATTATATTTTTCCAAGATATGGCTCTTAGCTGCACAATAATGACAATAATATCTTCAGGCCTTGGGGAAATATATGTATTTAAACATTAAGAGACATTGCAAGTAGTCTTTTTCCTTGCAGACAAAATACCACTTTCACAATTCTTTATATTTAAGCTATCTAAGTGTGAAGACCTGGTGGTAAAGAGTTAAATCACTCTCCCATTGAAATTGTAACCCTATTAAATAAAAGAAATATGTTGTTTGTTTTGTTTGTTTGTTTGTTTTTTTGCTAAACAAAACACAGACTTACACCATGACAGACAAACCCACAGACATACAAGATGGGTGCACGATATAAGACACACAATGGACACACAAAAATTGACAATATGCAGGCATAAAAAATTGACAGTAATACAAACATACAAAATTGACAGTGATACAAACATACAAAATTGACAGTAATACAAACATACACAATTGACAGTAATACAAACATACAAAATTGACAGTAATACAAACATACAAAATTGACAGTAATACAAACATACAAAATTGACAGTAATACAAACATACAAAATTGACAGTAATACAAACATACAAAATTGACAGTAATACAAACATACAAAATTGACAGTAATACAAACATACACATTTGATTTACGTACAGCCATACAAATGGACGCAAGTTCCAAGAGACACACAATGTGCACACACAAAAGTGACAGTAACACAGGAATATAAAATTGATAAAAATACAGACATTTTAAAAGCTTGAAAATAATACAGACATGCAAAATGGACTCGCCTGGCTCAGACCTGTCGCCATTTGACACCGTTGACCCACTGTGTTGTTCCCCTTGCCTTGTGACGATACCGTAGCCGCCCAGTCGGAGCCTGCCTTCCGCATCCACGAAGATCCAAGATGGCTATGGACGGAGACATTAAATCACCCTTCACATCACTGCTGGAAAATCTTTGTTATTTTAATTTTAAAAAATTTAACGACTTGCAGGGACATAGTATATTTTTAATACCGTGCGACCCGGAGTCACACAAAGTAGAAAGAGGTTTTTTTTGTTGTTGGTTTTTTTTTTCCAAGCCTTGATTTTGATTGAACTCTGGAAGGTTGAAGGAAACGAAAGAATTTTTTAAGAGTTGTTTAAACATGAACCCTGTTTAAAAGAAAAAAAATTGAAGTTTGGAAAGAAAAGAAAATTATTATTTTTTTTTATTAATCAAGTTGTTTGACAAACCAGCGCAGCTGAAACTATGAATTAATTATTCTTTTTAGGATTATGCTGCATTAATATCAGTTGTAATGTTTATAAAGCATTGTTGTGCATATGTCAGTACATAATGTCATAGTGCAAGGAAAAATACGAGTGCATAAGTACGTCTGCTTATGCACACGACACTCATGATTTTTGCACACTGAGCGGAAGAATATCTGAGAGAAGCATGACATTAGGGACTTTTTTTTTTTATTGGCAGGAATACTTTTCATGAGGTCGAAGTGAGTGGGGAGCAGACATTTCAAAGAAGGTGGACGCAGATTTCATTGACCAATGTCTATGAGGTGATCATCTGTATTTTGGAGATGTCTATACCGTGATGTTGTGGGTTTTTTTGGTGTTATTGTTAACACTGTTCCAAGTAGTGTTCGTTGTGTTTCATGGAAATAAAGGGCACAGCGTGCGAAAATGGACTTGATGTTTCATTGTGAAGAAGT